TGAATTTCAATACAAATTTCTCCTTTTTCATAATTTTCTTTGATTTCTCTTCTGTATGATTATAGTTTATTATTGGCTTTGTAATTTTTCTTCAAGTTTTCACTATTTTTCCTGAATTTTTTAATAGCTTTTTCCACAGTGTTTTCAATTTTATGAACATTTTGCCAAGTCAATCTTCAATTTTATTAGGAAAAACTCTTTTGAATCACATTCCTTTACAAATCAAATGGTCTCCTTATCAGTTTACTATTTTTTATGAACTTTTAAAAGCAAAATTCTTCTTGTTCATAACTTTCTTTGATTTCTCTTCCGTTTGATTATAGTTTATTATTGGCTTTGTAATTTTTCTTCAAGTTTTCACTATTCTTCCTTAAATTTTCACTTGTCTTTTCAACAGTGTTTTAAATTTTATTAATTTTTTGCCAAGTTAATGTTTAGTTTCATCAGGAAAAACTGTTTTAAATCACATTCCTTTACAAATCAAATGTTCTCCTTATCAATTTTCTTTTTTTATAAATTTGAAGTCCAATTTTTCCTTTTTCATAAATTTCTTTGATATCTCTTTTGTTTGATTTTTCCACAGTGTTTTCAGTTTCATGAATTGCTTGACAAGTAAATGTTCAATTATATCAGGGAAAACTGTTTTAAATCACATTCCTTTACAAATCAAATGTTCTCCTTATCAATTTTCTATTTTTTATGAATTTTACAAGCAAATTTCTCCTTGTTCATAACTTTCTTTGATTTCTCTTCAGTTTGATTATAGTTTATCATTGGGGTTTTAATTTTTCTTCACGTTTTCAGTATTTTTCCTGAATTTTTCACTAGCTTTTTCCACAGTGTTTTCAATTTTATGAATTTTTTGCCAAGTAAATGTTCAATTTTATCAGGAAAAACTGTTTTAAATCACATTCCTTTACAAATCAAATGGTCTCCTTATTAATTTTCTATTTCTTATGAATTTTAATTTAAAATTTCTCCTTTTATTCATAAATTTCTTTGATATTTCTTTTTTTTTAAGTGATTTTACCTTTATTTCTTATTTCCTTCACTTTAAGCCAATCATTAAATTTCACAGTGATTTCTGGGGTGGGGCAGAAGGAAGGCATCATTCCGAATGATGGATGCAGGCCCGGTTGGCCTCACTGGGGAAGCTGGAGGAGCAGGGACTGGCCGGCAGGCAGGTAGGTGATGTTCCGAGATTGGGAGAGCTGGTAGGCAATGTCCTCGGCAGCTTCCAGCTTCCAGCTTCCACAGCTCGATCAGGCCATACCCGGCGGTGGCCAGCGAGTTGGCGATCAGCTCAGCTGCCTTGGAGTCACCCTCAGCAGAGATGATGGCTGCCTTCTTCTGCTGCTCAGCCTTTTCCACCACGAATCTGGCTCTCTCTGCTTCCTGCTGAGCCACCTGCTTGGATTCTACTGCCTCTGGGAACTCCTTCCCGAAGGTCAGCTGTGTCAGGGACACGTCATCCAGGATGAGCCCAAATGTTGCTGCTCGCTCTGTGAGGTCATCGCTCACCTGCCTGGAGACCAGCTCTCGCTGGGTAATCAATTCTCCAGCATCAAACCGAGCCACCACGGACTTGAGGATCTCTGTGGTGATCGACAGCAGCACCCGCTCATCACAGTCGTCGCAGATGCTGGTGTAGATACGAGGGAGCTGGCTGGCCACTGGCCGGAAGAGGATGCGCAGTGTGATGTTGACGTTCTGTAGGTCTTGGCTGCCAGTGATGACCGGGACATTCCGTGGTCGAGAGCGGCAGTCAAAGATAATTGGTTTCTGTACCCAAGGGATGAGAAAGTGAGTCCCTTCCCCTCCCACAATGTCCTGTACGCCACGGAATCGGTCAAAGATGACAGCTCTGTGTCCAGCATCCACATTATATAGAGCAGAGTTCACCACGCCTCCTTCAACTGCTAACGCCAGGCCGAACTTTCCGATGGACTCAAACACTTTGGCAGCCATGACTCCTTCTGTTGCTTCCACTCACACCTGCTTTCACTCTGACCTCCACATGAATTCCCCAGCTTGATATTTCTTTTGTTTGATTTTTCCACAGTGTTTTCAATTTTTTGAATTTTTGCCAAGTAAATGTCCAATTTTATCAGGAAAAACTGTTTTAAATCACATTCGTTTACAAATCAAATGGTCTCCTTATCAATTTTCTTTTTTTATGACTTTTAAATTCAAAATTCTTCTTGTTCATAACTTTCTTTGATTTCTCTTCCGTTTGATTATAGTTTATCATTAGCTTTTTAATTTTTCTTCAAGTTTTCAATATTTTTCACTAGCTTTTTCCACAGTGTTTTCAGTTTTATTAATTTTTTGCCAAGTAAATCTTCAATTTTATCAGGAAAAACTGTTTTAAATCACATTCCTTTACAAATCTAATGGACTCCTTATCCATTTTCTTTTTTTTATGAATTTGAAGTGCAAATTTCTCCTTTTTCATAAATTTCTTTGATATCTCTTTTGTTTGATTTTTCCACAGTGTTTTCAGTTTTATGAGTTTCTAGCAAAGTAAATGTTCAATTATATCAGGAAAAACTGTTTTAAATCACATTGCTTTACAAATCAAATGGTTTCCTTATCAATTTACTATTTTTAATGATATTTAAGTGCAAATTTCTCCATTTTTAAAAGTCTCTTTGATATGTCTTTTGTTTGACTTTTCCACGGTGTTTTCAATTTTATGAATTTTTTGCCAATAAATGTTCAACTTTATCAGGAGAAACTGTTTTAAGTCACATTCCTTTACAAATCTAAGGGTCTCCTTATCAATTTTCTATTTTTTATGAATTTCAATACAAATTTCTCCTTTTTCATAATTTTCTTTGATTTCTCTTCTGTATGATTATAGTTTATTATTGGCTTTGTAATTTTTCTTCAAGTTTTCACTATTTTTCCTGAATTTTTTAATAGCTTTTTCCACAGTGTTTTCAATTTTATGAACATTTTGCCAAGTCAATCTTCAATTTTATTAGGAAAAACTCTTTTGAATCACATTCCTTTACAAATCAAATGGTCTCCTTATCAGTTTACTATTTTTTATGAACTTTTAAAAGCAAAATTCTTCTTGTTCATAACTTTCTTTGATTTCTCTTCCGTTTGATTATAGTTTATTATTGGCTTTGTAATTTTTCTTCAAGTTTTCACTATTCTTCCTTAAATTTTCACTTGTCTTTTCAACAGTGTTTTAAATTTTATTAATTTTTTGCCAAGTTAATGTTTAGTTTCATCAGGAAAAACTGTTTTAAATCACATTCCTTTACAAATCAAATGTTCTCCTTATCAATTTTCTTTTTTTATAAATTTGAAGTCCAATTTTTCCTTTTTCATAAATTTCTTTGATATCTCTTTTGTTTGATTTTTCCACAGTGTTTTCAGTTTCATGAATTGCTTGACAAGTAAATGTTCAATTATATCAGGGAAAACTGTTTTAAATCACATTCCTTTACAAATCAAATGTTCTCCTTATCAATTTTCTATTTTTTATGAATTTTACAAGCAAATTTCTCCTTGTTCATAACTTTCTTTGATTTCTCTTCAGTTTGATTATAGTTTATCATTGGGGTTTTAATTTTTCTTCACGTTTTCAGTATTTTTCCTGAATTTTTCACTAGCTTTTTCCACAGTGTTTTCAATTTTATGAATTTTTTGCCAAGTAAATGTTCAATTTTATCAGGAAAAACTGTTTTAAATCACATTCCTTTACAAATCAAATGGTCTCCTTATTAATTTTCTATTTCTTATGAATTTTAATTTAAAATTTCTCCTTTTATTCATAAATTTCTTTGATATTTCTTTTTTTTTAAGTGATTTTACCTTTATTTCTTATTTCCTTCACTTTAAGCCAATCATTAAATTTCACAGTGATTTCTGGGGTGGGGCAGAAGGAAGGCATCATTCCGAATGATGGA